TATTATGATTTGGATATCATCTATTGAACTAGTTTATAAATGCTACTAAAATTCAACAGCCTTAGCTTTTAACCCATCATTCACATGGGTTTCTAAAATAAATTTCAATAATTAAATTCCTTTTGATTACTTCTTTTGTCATTTTCTTGTGGACTCATAATTTAATTACCCTTGAACTATTTGTTTTAAAATAAATTTAAAGTACTCATAATTTAATAACCCTTGAACTCTTTGTTTTAAAATAAAATTGAAGTTTCATATTTCTTTTAAAGAAATGCTTCTATCTTACTTATATGTGGTAATAAATGTAATTGATAACAGTAGAAGAAAAGGTGGACAAAGTAAAACACAAATAAGAAGGTCAAATCCTTAATCACCTATAAAATAATTCTTCACAAAAGTATAGAACCTTAAATCTCATATTTAAACAATGCGTGTAATAGTATTATATATTTAAGAAAATTACAATTAAGGTGGAATTGCTAAACTTTGCTTAAAAGGGAACAACCACAAAGACCAATCTTCGCATTAGGAGTGATTATAGCATTTCCACTAATATCAATATATTAGTTAAGTGATGAATAAAGAAAATATAGTGTCAAGAGGCAACTAGAAATTTAATTAGAAGTAATTTATTAAGGAAAACATATGAGCAGGGCAAAGAGAAGGGTTATGTAATATGAGTGATGCTAGATGCACCCCAATTTATATCACCTCCATCATTGCACCTTATGTGGAAATTTCATGTCTTCAAAACATTGCAACAAACTTTTTTGTTTTCACCCAACAGTGAGTCCTCTTTTTGTTTGTGTCAAATACTCGACATATTCTCTATCCTTATTATGCTTTACCAAATTCAGCCAACTTTCCCTTCTCGCTGGTTGTCCACTCCCAGCCTCCTCTTTTTTGCCTTGCTTCAAATATCAAATCTAGAATTTAATCTTATTTGCATAAAATTACTTTGAAACTCAAACCTGAGAATAAAATCCAAAAATCAAACTAAACACTTACAAGAGTTCATGAAAGGAAATAAGAGTGTCTAGCCTCTAGCAGACTCTACGTTAGGAAAATAGCCTGACCAACAAATGCTCGAAGCTCTAGACACCTATCAATCACCTACTTCACCTGCAAATAATCCATACCCAAATATCACCTCCATCATTTCACCTGATGTGGAAATGTCATGTCATCAAAACATTGTAACACACTTTTTTGTCTTTGCCTGACAATGAGTCGTCCTTTTGTTTGTGTCAAATACTAGAGATATTCTCTATCCTTAATATGCTTACCAAATTCAGCCAACTTTCCCTCCTTACTGGTCATCCACTCCTAGCCTCTTTTTTTTTTCCTTGCTTCTAATATCAAATCTAGAATTTAATCTTATTCCCATAAAATTACTTTGAAACTCAAACCCAAGAATAAAATCCAAAAATAAAACTAAACACTAACAAAGAGTTCATGAAAGGAAATAAAAGTGTCTAGCCTCTAGCATGCTCTACCTTAGGAAAATAGCCTGACCAACAAATGCTCAAAGCTCTAGACACCTATCAATCACCTATTTCACCTGCAAATAATCATACCCAAATATCACCTCCATAATTGCACCTGATGTGGAAATGTCATGTCATCGAAACATTGTAACACACTTTTTTGTCTTTGACCGACAATGAGTCCTCTTTTTGTTTGTGTCAAATACTCGAGATATTCTCTATCCTTGATATGCTTACCAAATTCAGGCAACTTTCCCTTCTTGCTGGTCATCCACTCCCAGCCTCCTCTTTTTTGCCTTGCTTCTAATATAAAATCTAGAATTTAATCTTATTCGCATAAAATTACTTTGAAACTCAAACCCAAGAATAAAATCCAAAAGATCAAACTAAACACTAGCATGAGTTCATGAAAGGAAATAAGAGCGTCTAGCCTCTAGCATACTCTACCTTAGTAAAATAGCCTGACCAACAAATGCTCAAAGCTCTATGCACCTATCAATCACCTATTTCACCTGCAAATAATCCATACCCAAATATCACCTCCATCATTGCACCTGATGTGGAAATGTCATGTCGTCGAAACATTGTAACACACTTTTTGGTCTTCGCCCAACAGTGAGTCCTCTTTTTGTTTGTGTCAAATACTCCACATATTCTCTATCCTTAATATGCTTACCAAATTCAACCAACTTTCCCTTCTTACTGGTCATCCACTCCTAGCCTCCTCTTTTTTGCCTTGCTTCTAATATCAAATCTAGAATTTAATTTTGTTCGCATAAACTTACTTTGAAACTCAAACCCAAGAGTAAAATCCAAAAGATCAAACTAAACACTAACATGAGTTCATGAAAGGAAATAAGAGTGTCTAGCCTCTAGTGTACTCTACCTTAGTAAAATAGCCTGACCAACAAATGCTCAAAGCGCTAGACACCCATCAATTGCCTATTTCACCTGCAAATAATCCATACCCAAATATCACCTCCATCATTGCATCCGATATGATGTCATCGAAACATTGTAACACACTTTTTTGTCTTCGCCCGACAGTGAGTCCTCTTTTGTTCGAGTGTCAAATACTCGGCATAGTCTCTATCCTTAATATGCTTACCAAATTCAGCCAGCATTCCCTTCGTACTGGTCATCCACTCCTTGCCTCCTTGTTTTTGCCTTGCTTCTTATATCAAATCTAGGATTTAATCTTATTTGCATAAAATTACTTTGAAACTCAAGCCCAAGCATAAAATCCAAATATCAAACTAAACACTAACAAGAGTTCATGAAAGGAAATAAGAGTGTCGAGCCTCTAGCATACTCTACCTTAGGAAAATAGCCTGACCAACAAATGCACAAAGCTCTAGATACCTATCAATAACCTATTTCACCCGCAAATAATCCATACCCAAATATCCCAAGTCAAAACAATTGAACAAAAGTAAAAGAATGTCAACAAATCACAGAACAATAAAGGCAGTCTCTATAAGTTGTCTATTCTGCGCATGAATGAAATGTTTATGTGAGTTTTGAGATAGTTAAAATAAGTGAAATGCAAGTTCAAGAAAGAGAGAGAGCATGGGGAGAATAATCAGGAAGAGAAGAAGAATAAAGATAGTAGCGGGTGGGGTTTGAAAGGGAGACATTAGTGGAAGTGAAGATATCACCAGTAGTGAGGTGAGTGTGGAGAAAATGAAGTCATAGAGTGAAGAAGAGTGAGAAAGTTGAGATTTGAGAGAGAGAATGAAGCAGAAAAATGAAAGATGAAAGGAGAGAAAGCGAGGAAATAAAGCAATGCATTTTTTGATGATGTGGTAATGCCGTGTAAGGCAGGATTAGGGAGGTGATGCAGATTGGTGGGACAACTTGTATTTGCCTCTGATGATTCAACATGTATTTTTACTAATTCGGAAAGTCTGTGCGTCAAAATTTTGAATATTCATAGGAATTTTCCCTTTTGCTTCAGAGTTTAATGAGTCTGAACAAATATGGAAAAACGTATTGGAAATTAATTGGCTCTACAATTCTAAGTTTGAAAAATAATGACATGACAACTGTCAGCATCTAAGACTATCCACTCGTCAGAAAATGAGACCATCCACATTGCATAGTTTCCTTTCTGGTTAGAGGCTTTGCCTTCTATATGCTAGTATCATTATATTAGATTATGTTAGATAAGTATGTTAATGTTGCACTACTAGTCAATTTGGGAAAAGTGTTAATTTCCCATTTTTATTATTTTTGAAATTTTACATTTGTAGCACTTATCAATGTGTTATACTACTCCTAGGTTCCTGCACTTCAAAGGTTTATGCAAAATCGGCGGTCTCAGCTTCAGCAACATCCTGACTTCCATATCACATCCTCGACTATACTTGCTTCTACTCTACACATTACAAGATTGAACACCAGGAATCCAGGCATAGTTAATACAGATTCGGCCTCTGGGCCAGGGTTGAGACCTGGATCTGACCAAGCAGTGCCAGCAAATGGACCAAGAGAAGCTGCTGGGGCTCGAGGACACCCAGGTAATGACAACATGGACCAGAGTGGCAACCCTATGCAGATTCCAGGACAACCTGAGCTACAACAAGCTGAAGCCGGTCCTAATCCTGGGACAATGAGTTCGTTCAGTTCGCTGTTGTTATGGATTTTGGGAGGTGCATCATCTGAAGGTCTCAATTCATTTCTTTCCATGTTTAGAGATGTGAGAGAACAAGGGCAGGTTTATACCAACTCCCCTAGGCATGAAAATCGTGCAACGCAGAATGTCCAATAGCGGGGGCAGTTTTTAAAGGGACGGAGAAGGTAGATTTTAGTGTTAGATGTTTGTATAGCCAATGTTCAAGTTATATATAGCACACATGAACTTGCATAAATATATGTTACAAAAGCCACTGTGTTACAGATGAACACTTCTCATATTCACCTAGGAAACTGTAAAAAGAATGGAGAATCTTGACATGTTAAAATAGGCTTAGCCCTTTTGAAAGGCATATTATGCAATAACTCCAAAGCAGTATGTTAAAAGTTTCTGAATACTAGCTTTGTATTGGGGAATTGATTAAGAGAAGTGGGCCAGGAAAAATCTTTGGCAATAATGTACTACGGTTGACACATAAAGCTATCTTCTTGGATTTGATTTTGTAATAGAGTTGCAAAATGGTCCAAAATTTGAAAATGAGAGAGAGAAATAATGATAGTGAGCAGAAACTGTATGTTCATTATGGTTGGGTTACTTTATCATTTTCTTGTGTAAAATGGGTTAATAATAGCTGTTATTCTATTTTACATTCCTGGATCACTAAGATATAAGTATTCCTTTTTGTTCTTTCAAAAATTGTCATGACTAAAATTCAATATATGGCATCTTCTATAATATGGTATCACTCCAGGAACTAGAGTGTGCGATTCTCCTTTCTTCTCAAGGTTTTACTCGTGTTTGCGCATTTCACTTCCATAGAATGAGGTAAAAAGTGTTACCTTGTACTAATCACATGAAAAGTGTCATAGTTAAGAGAAAAATAATTTGCATCCTGTAAAAGGTTACAATGCATAAGCAGGGGATCATCTAATGATCAGTCAGGAACAATCTTCCAATATACTACATGCTTCAGAGCGTTGTTGATGGGACAATTCTGTGGGGAAATTGACAAGAAATGTGATTCTTAAGTCACCTCGCTTTCCTCCTTTGGCATTGGGCATGCCTTGGCCCTGAATTACCTTTTCGTATCCTGGATATATGATATCGTTCAAATGTATGCTCATGGTTTCCCCTCCTAACAGAGGAACTATAAGGGAGCAACCTGTGAGAGCCTTTACCAAAGGGATCTCGACGGCAATCTCTAAATCATCGCCTTGCCTCGTAAACAAAGGATGACCCTTCTCTTGTATCAAGAATATGATATCTGCTGGGAGATAGCCTGGTTTCTCATCGCCTTTTCCCTCGAATGTAACTTTTGTTCCTTTTCTCCATCCTGGCTTCAAGTTTATTGTTAGTGTCTCCTCTTCTTGGACAATTATTCTGCCAACATAAGCATTAAGTATAATGTTAAAGACTGAATTTAGCTCTATTTTTAAGATTTCATCTAACAAATACTCTTTGATATTGTATCGGAGTAAGCACTAGGACTCAGGAAAAGGATGGAGTCTGCAAAGGGAGTGACATACCCTTCATCAGAGATGACATCCCTGATGACCTTGATCTTTTTTAGCCCTCCATGGCAGAGCTCCTCCAGGGTGCACTCAAGCATTTTTTCAACTGGGGGAGGTTTCCTCCGAGCAACGGTTTGAGAGAATATGATAGGAGTGGTACTCCTCCTGCTTGTACTTCTTGAAATGTTTCGCATTTCAGTTTCTGATGTACACTTTCTACTCATGCTTCTCGAAAGAGGGGAAGGTGAATGCCCACCGACGCTTCCTGACAAATTGGTGGATGTCTCAGCATCTGCTCTGCTCCTTCGACTAAAGGTTCTCGACAGAGAGAAATTCAAAGTCCTAGAAGGGCTGCCCCTCCGGCTTGAACTCTTGGACAGGTAGGTTGGTCTAGGTGAAGGCGTGGTGCTCCTTCTACTCGTACTCTTTGAAAGAAAAGAAGAGCGGCGTGAAATGAAGCTATCATCCACGCTTAGGTTGTTAAGTTTCTCTCTTGTTGAAGGTCTATCGCTACCTCCGAATCCCTCTTCTTGCTTCTTGCTATTGATGGTCTGAAATTGGTATCAAACCAAACATTCTAAACATATAAACTAAATAAATCAAAACATATACAAACATATGTAGATCTTCCCGATTCCTTCCATGCAAGACATTATAAAGGAAACAAAAAAGGGGGAAATATGAATATAAAAATTTAATAAAAGGATAATGCATATGCTTGGCGATAAGCTTTGGCATTGAATTTGCATGGAATTCATACATGCATGCATGCATGCACTTACCTTGTAAGCCTCGTCAATATCTTTAAAATTGCCTTGCTCTTCACTTTTGCTCGAAGGACTTCTATGATCAGGATACCATTTGTGGACAAGAGATTTATATGCCTTGCACATATCTTTAATCGATGAACCCTTTGATGAGATGCCAAGAATGCCGTAAAGGTCTGTGGACAGCGAACGTGTATGATGATGAGAATGATCTCCCATGAGAGAAACTAGATGGAGAAAAGGAATGTTGCAGAGAATTAATGGAGGAGAGATTGGGAACTGGCTGAGGAAAGGGATAAAAGAGAGAGGGAGAGGAGAATGTGGGTGAGAGGCCAAACCCGAAGCAATTTGTTAGGAGCTTTTATTAGCCAGAATCTGTTTGTTTAACTAGAGATGGGAACAGATCAGTCGTTAGAGCTGACAAGGGCTTCTTAACACTGTTACACCTATATTTAGTAGTGTTTAAGCCTGTCCATCCCATCATATGTCCTTAAACCTTATCTTAATCTACATTAACATCCACTTAATATGGAGCAAAATTTGTCTGGGATGATATTTGATCAAAAGGTTGTTATAACTTGATTACTCATACACATGATTAATTTACCCAAATACTTTATGCTACTCTAATCTAATTAAGTGTGATTAAACATTGACAATGATTACCTCTATGCATATATGTATCTACTCTTTGTAAGATCAAAGGCTTGATTAATTAGCACTGATTAACTTTCCCAAATAGTTTCTTTTAGTTTGTTTTCACCTCATAGTAGTACAAAAGTAAAGTAATTTTAAATAATTTAATGAGACGTATTTGGTTATGAAACCTCTAAAATTATGTAAATTTTTTTTAAGAGCAATTATGTTGACTTGTTTGATATGTCGGAGTAGTTTAAGAAGTTCTGCTTCATGTAAATAATTATTTTTTGGTGAATTGGAAAATTTTTAATTTGGGGAGTGGTTCAAATCACAACTATATGATATAATATTTTAGGATTAATTATCCTCTTGAAAGTACATTGACTAGGTGTCTAAACGATTAGTCTTCTTAGCTAATTATATTAGACTATGAAGGCATTTTATAAATTATGTTGGGAAATATTATTCATCGAGTAGGTATATTAATAGGTACTTTATAATCGAGTATTTTGTATTATCCAACTTGATTAAGTACAATTATGATATCTTATAATTGAGTTCGAATAATAGTTTTACTTCCTGTTGTGGCTTCAGTCTTAGAGTATCCATTATACGAATCTAATTATAAATATTGATTTTTAATATTAAATTATAGTTTTTTAAGTATTATTTTTATTTATAAATTCTTTATAATTAATATAACACTTACAAAAATTTATTAATTTAAACTTTAACTTAATTGGTTATGAACTAACTTTCATTTATTAATTTAATTTCCATTAATAATATACATAAACGATAATTTTGAATTTAACTTAATCAGGTGCTTAATCTATAAAATATCTAGGATAATTAGATTACAAATTCAGATAATAATTCAAGAATTTAATCAAGTATTTATAAGATTCAAATGCTCTATTACATAACAAGGTTTGAATTAAAAAATCTAAAAAATAAAGAATATTTTACCCCGTTGATATCTTTATCATTAAGCATATAATTTCAAATTCGAGAGGCTTTTTTATAAAAGGATACAAACATGGTTTGAAAACTCTTGTGCTTTGGTACAAAAACTACCGACAAATTCTGGAGGAAACAATGAAGAGATAAATCAAAGCGATTGTAGTTTTTTTATTAGATGATTTAATTAATACTCGTTTTTAAAGTGTAGAATAGTTGTTTAAAATATTCTAAAACGATTAAAATTAAAAAACCAGAGGGAAGCCAAATTAAGCAACCCCATGCCGCCCTCCCATATGACCTAACAGTACCTAGGCTTGCCGACTTAATATAAATAAATGCTGAGAGGGGAGTGAGTTTGATCATAGAAAACAGTAGTTGTTCATGTGAAAATACGTGTTTTCCTTTTTCTCTTTTTTTTTTATAAATTATATTAACAAATTTGACACGTGGTCAAATCTCATATTGGTTGAGGCCTAGAAACGTATGTAGCTGGTATCTGTCATTTTCTATGGAGAAAGTCAAGCAATAGATGAGGGTCAGGGAGATACATTCGAAATTTAGGGGCTGCAACTGTGGAAGTAAAGACGAAAAAACCAAGTAAAAAGATCCAATTATTACAGGTAAGAAATGAATGGGAAATTCCACGATCTGTTCAATTACACTTCCAAGGGTGGATTTGTTGTGTCAGAGACATTTTTGACTTTGTTTCTCTTCAAAGTCAAGATTATTGACTTTCGTTTTTTTGTTTTTGATGGGAAATTAATTTTCACCAATGAATCTTCAATTGAGAATTGATTCTGAGCTTGAAGATCAGAGTTTTAAGGCTGTTAAATCCTAGACAAAAGTTGCAAATGCAGACAATGATTAAGTTGGGAAGTGGGGACTTCGTTGTTTTAGAACGAATTTTCCTGCTAGCATCAAAGCGCATTTAGCAAATGTTTAGAGACAAAGAGAGAGAGAGGGAAATAAGAAAGTGACATTTGCCCTCTGTCAGCAGCAATTTTGTCTTTTCACCCTGCATTGAGTTGCGTGCATTCACGCTCTAATCAAAGCCCTATTCCTCTCCTGGTATGTTTTGGCACGCGCCATGGATGAAAGTAGAGAATGCTAGAAACAAAACTCAGCAGCAGCCACGGAAGAGTGAATGGAGTGGGTTTGACCAAGTGATTCCTTCCCCCATCTCTGCAACCTCCCGTTGTCATTAACTCATAGCCTTATCTTTCCTTTCCTCATCAACCAGAACCCAGAAAAGAAAACCTATCGATCTTGAATGAAAAAAGAAAAATGCATAGACACAAAATGAAGATTGCTTTAGAGCTTGCCTGTTTCATTTTCCTAGCTGCCCTTTCTTTTACCTTAGCTGCCTCACCTTCAGCTTCCACTAACTCATCTGCAAAATGCCCAATGGACCTCAACTATGTAACAAGAATCCCATGGAACTCATCCATGTGCCGCAACTTTCACCCCAACTTAGCTTCCAAAGCTGAAATTGCAAAACAAAATTGTTGCGTATCTCTACTATCAGTCTTTGGTATTGGACTTGCCCAACATCTTAAAGAAACCTCTCTCTTTCAGCTACCAAATTTGCCCACTTCTGTTTCTTGCCTCCAAGATTTCCAGTCAAAGCTCAACTCTCTCTCTCTTCCTGGTAACCTTGCTTCCCTTTGTTTTGAGCCTATGCAGTTTGTGATTACACCTGATCTTTGTGCCCACATACAAACAACCCAAGATTGGGTTGCCAAGCTAGGGGAATCTACTGCACTTGACCAGGGCTGCAGGCCTGATCTCGGTGATCTTACTGCTTGTGATACTTGTCTTCGTGCTGGTAACGAAGTTCATACTAAGTTGGTCTCTCTTGATGGTAATGCAAATCATTCTACTGATTGTTTTAATTTTGTTGTTCTTTATGCTGCTGGAATTGCTAATGAGTTTGGACCTGAAAGTGATGGGACTGTGGAATGTGCTTTTGCATTAACTTTGAATGAACAATCCAATTCAGCCGGTGGAAGACGTTCAGTCCTTGTTTTTGGCTTAACTGGAGCTGGGGTTGCACTTTTTGTTACGTTTAGCTTGTTGGGTTTGTACTTTTGGTATGAAAAGAAATTTAAAAAGAAAAATATCGGTGGCTCTGATTCTATTTTTTACGATTTAGAGGAGCAAGAGTCTAGGCCAAAATTGAGGCCCAATACAGGTTCAATTTGGTTCAAACTTCATGATCTTGAGAAGGCGACGGATAATTTCTCACAGAAGAATTTTATAGGGAGAGGAGGGTTCGGTTTTGTTTACAAAGGGGTTTTACCTGATGGGACGGTGGTTGCGGTTAAGAGGATTATAGAATCAGAGTTTCAAGGAGATGAAGAGTTTTGCAATGAGGTTGAGATTATTAGCAATCTGAAGCATAGGAATCTTGTGTCACTTAGAGGGTGCTGTATCATTGATGGTGATGAAAACTATGGTGAGGAAGGGAACCGAAGGTATCTTGTCTATGATTATATGCCAAATGGAAATCTTGATGACCATTTGTTCCCATCAAAAGTGGAAAGTAAACCATTGAGCTGGCCTCAGAGGAAGAACATAATTTTGGATGTGGCAAAGGGGTTAGCTTATTTGCACTATGGCGTGAAGCCTGCAATATATCATAGAGATATTAAGGCCACGAATATATTGCTTGATGGTGATATGAGAGCAAGAGTGGCAGATTTTGGGTTGGCGAAGCAGAGTAAGGAAGGTCAGTCTCACCTCACTACTAGAGTGGCTGGAACTCATGGATACTTGGCCCCTGAATATGCTCTTTATGGGCAGTTGACTGAGAAGAGTGATGTTTATAGTTTTGGTGTGGTTGTTTTGGAGATAATGTGCGGGAGAAAAGCTCTTGATTTGTCGTCATCAGGCTCACCTCGTGCATTTTTAATAACAGATTGGGCTTGGTCATTGGTGAAGGCAGGAAAAATAGAGGAGGCTTTGGATCATTCCTTGATCAATAATGGGGATTCTGTGAGTTCAAATCCAAAGGCTATAATGGAGAGATTTCTGCAGGTTGGCATCTTGTGTGCTCATGTAATGGTAGCTTTACGGCCTACCATTTCGGATGCACTGAAAATGTTAGAAGGTGATATTGAAGTTCTTGGGATTCCAGATCGACCAATGCCTCTTGGACACTCTAAATTTTATGGTGATGGCAATGCTTTCAGCATCTCACCAACATTAAGTGGACCACGACTGTGTACGGGAGACATGCTCAGGTAATCTGGAATGCTTGTAGTTTCCATCACTATTTGTAGTTGACTAAATGAACATGGAGAAGCAGAAGTTTGAGGAGGATCCTTGTTGTGTTTGTTCAATAGGCTTTTCATACAAGATGTCTGGAACAAACATAATCAGGTCATAGCCAGCTAGTATATTATAAAGTCAAAATATTATTTTGTAGTCATAGAATTGCAATGCTATAATGTTCTGCAAGAAAAGTTTGGGGTGGCTTAAAAGACTCTGTGATATAAATGAAGACCTGAAGATGTGTGTATTAGATTGGTGTATCTAGTCCTCAATCATCAGCTTCTACAAACCAAGCATTGACCTCCATTGGCTGCCAAGAAGATAGGCGTGGCGAGAGAATTCAGAAATTGCTCTTACCAGCTGAAGTTTTTTAGCTCCTTTTTGCCCTTTATTTTTTGGTAAAACAATGAATGATGTCAGACTTTTTGCATGATCATGAAAAAAATCAAGTTGCAGTTAGGATCTTGCTTCACTTCAATGCATTGAGATGTAAATATCCTGGGTTTATTTCTCTTCTTTCACCATAAAACCTGGCACACATCCTGCTCATTTTGATTCCCTCCCCCCCTTTTTTAATGATAACTTGGACTTGAAAAAGCCATTTGTCATACTAGTGCAGTAGCAAGCAGGCTTGACAGCTATGTACTCTGCAGGTCATTGAAGAGAGGTAATGACTTCAGTGGGTTCTCAATGTGCAAAGATTTCAGACATTCCATTCTTTTTGTCATGCTATCCTTCTGTATATAGGTTTTGTTGAGTCCTTGTATACTAGCTCTAGCTTGTAGCCTTGTTCTGGTTTATGTAATGTTGTATACCGCCGCTCTCACTATACGGTATAGTGAATTTGGGTTCAATTCAGTTTATTAAAATCACAATATATATTTTTTAATTATTTGTTTTTTTTTTCTTAAAAATGATTGGGACAATCTTTCATATGTTAGATCAGCTGTAAAAACTAGCATTACATATGAAACTGTGCACTTTGCTGCAGAGCTCAGCTGCAAGCTCCATAGCTTCAAAGAGAGGCATGTGGGAAATCGGAATACAGAACACCATGAGCACGCTTTTCCACACAGGTTGAAGCTTTGTCGTTGGCAAAAACTAGAGAAATGGAAGAGCTTTGCGTGCTCTTTTGTGCGTGCATGTGTGTATGTGTGCGGGCGAAGCGAATTGCAGCTGTGAGACTGCTCAGTTTGGGTTTCTATGAATGCATGTAGAAAAATACTACTAAAAATTACAGAACATCTTTACTTCTTGGTTGAGAGATGAGAACTGCTCCGCCAAAGAGATTGTGCCATTTTGGATGGTGCCTTCGGTGCCAACCTTTTTCGAAGCTGAAAAAGGATGGAAGTTATATCATTATAACTCCTCAACTTCTGGATCAGGCACTGAGAATGCTGGTAAGATATTCTGGTTCATCCATTGCCTTTGAGCAGCCAAGGGTTGCCTGCTAAATACTTTGTTATGGCATTCATGGGTGTCAATAGTTATATCATTTGTAGTTGATTGAATGGATTTTGAAACAGCAGAAGCCATGATGGAAGTCATTTCAAGAAGTTATCTGCTACACTGTCCTCTCTAGCAGATGGGTGTTGGTCTCTTATCTTGCTGATATTTTCTAGAATTATTGTTATGTTCCTTTGTTACAAAATTTTAGAGAAAGGTTGAAGACAGATTTGTTATTGGGGCAATTGGAGTTCAAATTCCTGAAACCTTGCCGCTGCTCTCATACTTTCAAAATAAGATAGGAGAAGACTGTTGCCAGCTCTCATCTGGTCTCACTTGGTCATATTTTCAAACTAGAATCCATCTTTTTTCTTTTCTTTTCCGGCCATCGAAACGTTAATGTCGCCGTAGCTAGCATCCATCTTCCGACTCGTTTACATGTGTTCGCTCCCTCTGTTATTACCAAGAATTCTCCAGAAATTCTAACCCTGACTCTAAGCAACCCTACCATTTCTAAGAACACGAACTCTACCCGAGATTTCTTCCTAAAAGGTGCGAAAATGCTCCTGTGATTGAGTGCTAGGAAAGAACTGCTGATCCTTGAGTAATGCGGGTATTTTAGCAGACCAATGCTTTCCAGACAGATCCGATTTCTTCGAGTTTCTGAGATAAGATATCCCTAATCTTCAAGATTAGTGAGAATTAGGTCTTGCAATTTTCTTTGTCATAATTAAGCGTTAGAATTCCCGGAAAATGAAATAAAATGGAGGAATAAGAGGCTGTGAAGGCTTATAGTCCAATCACATAGCACCACGTCATGCAATGACGTGTTTCTCACAACACCGATGCTCCATTTCAAAACCGTAGATTTCCCAAAATATCCTTGGGTCTTTCTATGCAAAGACGATGCAGCCGTTAAAAGACCCGGCTTTTTTCCAACCTTTTAGCCCTTTTGCTTAAGAAGTCTTCCCCGATGGTCGTCTCCCTCATTGTTTCTTCACTCATTACCAAACTGAGACTATTACTCTCTGATCTCTAATTGCTCATCAATGTTGGATCTATTTGAACCTGAAATTCTATAGAAATAATTGGAAATTCCCATTTGATTAACACAAATGGAGACCCGTTTAAGATCTCGGCTTTGCATTTTAATCGTTCTTGCTTGTGCAATCTTCTGTGGGTTCACTTCCGTTGGAGCTCAAAATCGAAGGCCAAAGAACGTTGAAGCTGCGATTCGGGCTAAGTGGTCGGGTACTCCATTGCTTTTGGAAGCCGGGTATGTTCCCTTCTTTTTGTTCTCAGTTCATTTGGGTTTTTTTTTCTTCTTATAATTTTTATTTGGCCTTCGTGGGTTTTTGATTCTCTAGTTGTGGAATTTATTTATATATTCGTATACTTTGGCATCTGTTGGTATTTTTCTGTGTTAAAGTTACTCCTGTAGCATAATCATCCTAAGAGATAATATCTTTATCTGTATGTCAGTCTTGCTAGTTTCTTTTAAACTATATAGTACCTTTTTCCTGAACCTATCTCAATTCTTTCCAAATTTGTAATCATCTTTTAATTGTTACAGTGAATTACTTTCTAAAGAGTCAAAAAATCTTTTCTGGGAGTTCATTGACGACTGGCTACATGTTGCAAAAACTGGTGGTGATTCTCATTCAGCTAAAGACTGCCTTAAAAAAATCTTGAAACATTGCAGCTCTCTTTTAAGTGAAACCTTGTCATCATTATTTGAATTCTCCTTAACTCTAAGATCAGCATCCCCGAGATTGGTGCTTTATCGGCAATTAGCAGAGGAGTCTCTTTCTTCTTTTCCACTGGCTGATGATAGTTACTCAAACAATGTGAACGGGCTAGATGCTAGTGAAATCTTAGAAACTAAAAAGTTGGATCCCTTGCTTGTTGGTATAAATCCAAGAAGTCCCGGTGGAAAATGTTGTTGGGTGGACACTGGTGGGGCACTGTTCTTTGATGTTGCAGAACTGCTGCTGTGGCTTCAGAGACCTAATGAACTGTAACTATTGCTCCTTATTAGTATTTGTTATGATATCTTTTTAAGTTGAAACTGATAAACGTTTATGATTGAATTGTTGTTACTTTCATTTGTTGGTTGCCAGCGGTGGAGACTCGTTTCAGCAGCCTGAATTATATGATTTTGATCACATCCATTATGATTCAAATATTATGAGCCCAGTCGCTATTCTGTATGGTGCGCTTGGAACAAATTGTTTTGAGCAGTTCCATGTTACCCTAGTTCAAGCTGCCAAAGAGGTCTGTTATGGTGCTGTTGTAGTTTGTTGCATTCTAATTCTTTACTTTAGACTTTTTTTTTTTCTATTCTTTACATCTATCTTTCCTGTTAGTTTTATCACTTATGAATGTATTAATCACATATTAATTGACAAACATCATTTGAAGTAAAGCACTTATTTTCAGCAAAAAAAGGTTAAAGCACTTATTGCGATTGCAATATTCTAGACCTCTTGTTTGAAGTAGTAACTTATTAGAAAAGGAAAATATAGAAATCATAATTATTCTTCACGCCTGCACCAGATTTATCTGGCATTTAGTGGGAACATTCTTCCCTGGTTTATAGCTGTAACTCAATATTATCCATACTGCAGATATATCTGGAGTTTATTCATTTATATGCTTATTTGAATTACTGAATGTTACAGGTCAGACAGGTTACTATCTGCATATAGTTTTTCCCCTTTCGTCCCTTTCCTTCTTCTCTTTTATAAGAATTGTGATATCATACTCTTTGTTAGCTGTTATAATTGCTCTGACTTACCTCATTAACATTCAGGGAAAAGTTAAATATGTTGTCAGATCAGTATTACCTTCTGGTTGTGAAGCAGAAGTTGGCTTGTGTGGAGCTGTTGGCACAAGGGATTCCTTAAACTTGGGTGGCTATGGTGTAGAGCTTGCTTTGAAGAATATGGAATATAAAGCCATAGATGACAGTACCATAAAGAAAGGTTAGCACTTTTGACAGATTAGTTGCCAATTAGAAAGATAGTCTTTTTTCTGTATGCCAAGCCAGCAATCTTGCATGACCTGAGTAGCAGCATTTTATTTTCAATAGGATTATTTTTTCCATGAAGTTATTTATTTATTTTTTCCTGATGCTTCTATGAGTATTTCATGTTGATCTTCTATTGCTTTTTGTTGATTGACCTTGTTGATCTTTGCACTTGATCCCATTGTGACGTTTCCTTGTTAGACATAGCAGTTTTTTAGCGGTTGATGTTTTTGGGCTTATTTATGGCTCTTCTTTAGTGATATGTTGCTCTCTGATTCAGACGCCCTTGTCATGGAACTGTTCTTTCTAGGCTTTTCTGTGGCTTTTTGGATACTTTCAACCTTCATTAGTCTTTGATTTTCTCTTTTTTGAGGTTTCTTTGTATGAATACATCTCATTTTTCTTTAGAGTTCTTAATCATAATATGATAGCATAATGGGAATGCCTATGGTTTTTTATTACAAATGCAAATATCTTGAAAAGATTTGCTGCACTCATGGATTTTTATGTTAGAATGCATTCTGTTTGCTTCAAAATCACGTGCTTTATTGCTTGATTTCTGACGTATCTTTCTAAGGGCTTGAGGTTTGAGTTGCAGGTGTAACCCTAGAAGACCCTCGGACTGAAGATCTTAGCCAAGAAGTTAGAGGGTTTATATTCTCAAAAATTCTGGTTTGTTATCCTTATAATTCCTCAATACTCCTGTTCTAATATAAGTTGCAACTGTTTCAATGAACATTGGTTACATGGACATATTTCTAAATGAATAAACTCTAATCACAAAATCTTTCTCTTTGGGGAGGAGTCAACTCTGGTTATAATGTTTTCTAACCGTAAAACCTGCATGTCATCCTGAAGTTAATGTTTTCTTTTATTTCCATTTTGCAGGAACGCAAACCTGAGCTTACTTCTGAGATAATGGCTTTTAGGGATTATCTATTGTCATCAACGATATCAGATACTCTTGATGTTTGGGAACTGAAAGGTACATTTTTGTTCAAGGTTTTTTTTCTTCTTGTTGTAACTTCTCTAATCTTAAAATCCCTCCCCACCCTCCCCGCCTTAACAGATTTAGGACATCAAACAGCTCAGAGAATAGTACAAGCCTCTGATCCTTTGCAGTCAATGCAAGAAATCAGCCAAAATTTTCCTAGTGTAGTTTCTTCTTTATCTCGGATGAAGGTAACTTCTCAGTATCACTTTCAATGTTGGAGCAGCTGTAAATAACTGTAATATTGGCTCCAGATTAAGGTATCCAATTGGTTTTTCTAATCAATGTTTACAAATTTGTGCATTTGCAGCTCAATGATTCTGTAAAAGATGAAATAATTGCAAACCAGAGAATGATCCCTCCTGGCAAGTCTTTAATGGCTCTGAATGGTGCTTTAATCAATATCGAAGATATTGACCTTTATCTGTAATACTTTTTCTCCTTTATTTCTTTTTCTCTTCACTGGAGATCTTATCTGTTTAGAATTCATGACTTGTTGGAATATCTATCTTTTGCTCCATCTATACCTGAAGATTTTGGGCATAGTTACCACACAATTTTAATTGAATTTCTATTTTAAAATTGAAAAATACACAAAATAACTTTTTTCATGCAAATGAATCACTGCTGTGATTTTTTTCAATTCTATCAAACAGACCCTGTCATGAAATTTCAGATTTAATGGAAGAAGACTTTCTTAGAAGCGGAGTCAATTTGTATATCTGCATAAGGTTTTACTCCAGGGAAAGCCTGATGTTTGATATTGTGATATATTCTTTCAAAAGCCTTATATTGTTGAATGTTTTGACATAATCTAGGGATAGCACTCTTGAGTTAGGGTCATAATAATTGAATTTTTACAGCCAGTGGTTCTCAAATTCTTGTTTGTTTATTATAACAGTGCATTCTTTTCTCCATTTCCTGTGTATGTCATTAGCTCTTTGTTTGGTATCACTTGAATGCCTTTTGATGTGACTCAATCAATGTAATATTACTTCTGATACTGTGTTTTTTCTATTATTTTCTTTATAGGTTGGTTGACTTAATCCATCAGGAGCTATCATTGGCTGATCAGTTTTCAAAATTGAAGGTGAATGATTCTAAGTTCCTTTTTGTTTGATTGATCAGTGAAAGCTACTCAAAAATGCGCTTTATGTATCATATTCATTTTGCTCAATATATATAGCCTTATTTTTTTAATTTTTTAAATTAGTAACTGTTTTTTCCTTTTATGTTTCCTTTGAGCCATAATTAAATATGTGCATTTTCTACACTTGTTCAGATAAGTTTGAAAATGCCCCAGTTGAGAAGAGAACAGTACTAGTATAAGTACTGAAGCAGAATGTGTAGATGTGTGTGTGTGTGTGTACAAGCAAGTGCATAGGCAACAAAAAAGAGCTAGATTGATGTTCATAATTTGGTAGCTAAAGATAAACAAGTTGATCCAATTCAGCATAATTGCAAGGGCTTGTTTGATCCCTGGTTACTTAGAAAAGGCAAATATACCCAGTGCAGGGTCCAAAATTCTTGGTGCCTGTAACTGAGGCCCCCTTTTATTTTCCCTCAAAAGAACTGATTATTATGTGGCTTCCAACAAAATAAACAATTTATATCTGATATTTCTTGTGATCAGGATTTCAATAATTAATTTCATATGAGAAATGCATGTATGTAATATATCAGGGCCATTTGTTGTGCTAGCCTACCATGATTCTGTTCTGCATGATGTGTTTAATTTATTGTTAACTGCAAAAAACAAATCAATTGTCTGTCACCATTGTTCTAGTGCTATTTTCTGCTCAACTAGCATGGTTCAATAATTATATATATTTGATGAGTCTCCTTATTTCTAGGTATTAGAAGATCTTCCATGATACATGAGCTTCTTATCAAGGCATTCTGGCACACATCTCATGTTTGTCAGCCTGCATATATTAGTAAATTATTGATTCTAATTTTTTTCAGATCCCTCAAGGCACCGTACGAAAGCTTCTATCAACTGTGACTCCTCCTGAGTCGGATATGTTTCGTGTTGATTTTCGTTCTTCCCATGTTCATTATCTCAATAACTTGGAGGAGGATGCTA